CTGACTCATATTTTTGCTTACACATCTAACTACAAATCGCTAAAATTTTTTGCTGAAAATCGTCCTCCTTTTCTCACAAAAATGATAAATGAGGACAAAAAATCACCTCTTCACCAACGCGTTTGCTCACTTCAACAAAATTGAGTTCCGGATGCGCTGCTCGGATACGTTTTCTGGCTTCACCATGGAATAGCATGTAGCCAGTGCGGGCACGAGACCCCTTCTTAGATTTCTGGAAAAAAAAGCACACACACACATTAAGTCTGAGTAATTTCAAAGCGGGGAACACAGATAATTGTGAAAAGTCCGTCTCACCTTTGCTTGGCTGCTGCTACTTGTGTTGCTGTTGCTTGCTGCAGGTGCAGCGGCTTCTTGCTGCGGTGCAGGCGCCGGCGCTGGCGCGCACATCGACGGACCACTGGAGCTGAGCGCATCCGCTACGAATCCGCCCGAACTTGTCATATCCATTCCATTTTGCGTGTCTTCACTCACTTCCGTCAATAACACGATGGAACAAACGCCAAAAATTTGTGCAATTTGTTCAGGTCACACTGTTACAAACACCCAGTTGTCGTAAAGAAACTGAAATCTTTGATTAGACACAGCCAGCATACAACTCTAAACACTATGTGGTGAAAGTATCGGCATGGAAAAAAAAGCAAAAACTTTAAGAGGGTAGTCAGTACCCTGCCTAGGAGCAGAGGCCGGGAGGGCGGAGGGCAGGGTGAGGGAGAAGGGAAGGGGACGGGGGGAAGAGTCTAAGAAGCTGAATTAAAGGGCAAAATAGTCATCAGCACAGATTAAAAAAGCTAGCACGAAAAAGTGAAACTTGACTCTTCCAGCATGAAATGATAGTAAAAATCATTTGAAAAATAGGTAGAACAGGATGGGGAAAAATCAAATCCGGAAAGTAAAGCGCACCAAAGGGATTGGTGCGAACATGTGTCTTTGCGACCAGCTAATCCCGCTGCCCTACTGATGAATGAAATTTGAGCTCCCTTGCTGCTTCTGGTTGCTCTGAGCTTTCTCTTAAAATTTCAGCTTCCTAGCTTTTCTGGATCCCAAGTTAGCAGGTTTCTCGCCAAAATTTCACATGTCCATAATATGTAAGATCAAACGTAGAGTTAGATGCTGCATTTGAAATCTTCTGATGGAAACTTAGATCCCATCAATGACACTTATAATACAACTTGAAAGCGCGGTAACTTCATAAAAACTTCCCCCTACCCCTCCCCGAAGTTCATCAGTGAGCCCGACACTTCAAACACTCCTTAATCTTCATTCGTGCCACGGGATCTTTACCTTGTGATTTTTTTACCCGAATGAAACCCAGAGAAGATCTACGAGGTGTGCATAAACCAACTTGGGTGGCAAGTTCCCATCAATACGCAATAAGTTACAGCCGCCGAACACACGCCAGTTCACATTCCCCGTTTCTCAACCAATACGAGAGGTGCTGTTTCGAGAGAGAGAGAGAGACATGGGAAGCTTCGCCAAGAAGGGGTCATAAGACAAAAACAGATGCACGGATTTGTGGTACTTCCCGCCAGTCATCTAATTATGCACTCGAACGGCATAGCGAAAAAAAAAATATTAGAAGTTTAACCAGATGACGCGGCACGTGACCGGAAAAGTTGTCAGATGCACAGTTGGATAATTACGAAATGAACTGATAGCTGACTGAAGCGCCAGGGAATGCTCCTGAAGAAATTTTCAGGAGTAATGCCAGCTAACAGGAGTAAAGCTAGCCAGCGTTACAGACGCGAAAAGCAGGTAAAATCCGTCAGACCTGAAAAAAGAAAAAAAAAAACGCTTGGAAGCAGATTTGGAGAAAAAAAAGACAAAACCAGGAATCAAACCTTATCACGTATTTTCACTACAGAAGGCGTAAAAAGTTACGCAGTTCGAATCTTAGTATGTGCCAAAATCAACTACTCGCTGGTAAAAGTGCCTATGGTAGCCTCTTTCAAGGGTTGCTTAGAACCAAGTTAGTAATGATTCTCACTGCCTGGCATATACCAGTACCAATTTGCCATCGAAACGATGAAAGAACAACAGGGAACTAACTGCCTGTACCACCGTTGGAAATCAACGTCGCGCCTTCAGTACGAGGGCAGTGCTACCCGACAAATTACTATTCCTATCACTCAAAAGGCCGTTTGTAGATAATCCGTCCCAGTGAACATGTGGTACCACGAAAGTTCCAAAATAAGCTGAAGAGAACTAAAACAAGCTCATGCTGTCAACAATCCACAATAAAGCTATTGCTCGGCGACAATGCAGTTCTGGAACACAAGAACAGCGGTAAATCTCGCGCCGTCTGCGACGGAAAAGAATAATTTTTAAAAATTTTAGTCTGTAATTTTTTACTGACAAAATACAACATACCAGTCAGTGTGAAGAATACAAAGTGATGAAAGCGAACAAACTAGGAAACAATGAACAGAAACTTGTAAAA